ACACATGTGCTCTGGCACCCCCGGCACCCCCCGCCCTTCCTGTACCCCACAGCACACTTCACCTCTGCTGGCCTGCTCTCCAAGGTTTGTGTCCCCCTGTGCATCTGTCAGGAATGGAATTTTCACCAGCTCAGTGGCCACATGGGGCAGCACTATGGTCATAAGTGGCCAGATAAAAGCATGCAGACTGCGGTGCAGCCTTTGCTGCCTTCAGCTCTCTGTGCAGTTTATTATGTTCCCACATCAACCCCCAGAGGGCCTCAAGTGTCAGCCACACCAGGCAGTTCCTGTTGGTATTGGGGTCCAGCAGGAAAAGCCAAATAAACAAGACTGCTGTGCGCCGAGTCAGCGGAGGTGGTCTGCTTCTGAGATAAAGCCGACAGTCCCCAGAATTTGATTTCCAAAACAAATTGCTGTGAATCACATCAATATTGTGAACAGATGTGGCAATCTGGCTGACCGGCTGTACACTGCCACCAGCCAGGATGGGGAACTGGGGGCAAGGAGGAGCTGGCACTGGGATGTGTCTCCTGCTGTAATCTTGCTGCTTATCCAGAGGAAGGATGGGAGATGGAGGTGGGTGAGGGCACCCAGGATTGTAGGCTGAATAGGCAACCCAGGCATAGTAGATGATGTAGACAGAGCGATGCTAGGAGAATTCTGATCCATTTGTGTTGTCTGATGTGGATACAGTGTGTGGCTATTGCTAGGCGGTGTGGCACATTTGCTTTTTGTAATTAGACAAAGCTAGTTCCCTGGCTGTGGGCTGTGTTAGCCTGTAGGCTAGTTCAGGGTCCCCAGGAAGCCAGAGGCTTAGCTGCAGCCTAGAGTCAGCAGGTGGAATGAGCTGCGGAGTTTGAGGACTCAACGAGAACTGGTTTGCCCCAAAATGGGAGGTCCCCCTTGAACCTGGGATGTGAGGGGGCACAAAGTAGGAAAGTACCATGCCTGGATAGGACTTGGAGTTGGCTTGCCTGAAGGGACATGGTGACGCCTGGTGCTGGTCTCAGGGCTGTTTGCAGCCCCATCTGAACTCTCGTGGGCACTTGGTGCTCTTGGCCATTTCTTCCTTCATTGATTGGGAACGTGGTCTGGCTTTCCTTCCATCCCTGTCCCTGTTCTCTTCCTGCTAAGATTCATCCTTCATGGCCACCAGCACTGTGACTCCTCTGCTTTCCCAGGCCATTGTTAGGGAGCTGGATCAAATGTAGGGCAGCTGGGGCGCAAACCAGGTACCCTTTGGGGTAACTGCTGCACGGGCAGAGGAGCAGCTTGCTGTGTCATCGCACTGGCCGCCTCCGCCCCGCCCCCCCAAGTTCTTCTCTTATCTAGTATTCTCTTCCCAAGAGATGTCACCCTAGTCAATCACTTTAATTCCTACCTCCATGCATATACTTGATGTTTTATATCTTGGGCTGCACGTATGCCCCAAACTCTAATGACCCGTCTGACACCTGCTCTTGTGTGTCTCAATGATACTGACTTCCACAGACTGGTTATCTGCAGTGGTCTACCTGGGTCTCATCTGGTGTTTTGTAGCCCATCCAGCGACAGCACCAATCATTAAATAGGCCAAAAACATTGCCCTGAACCCGTGCTCTCTCCCTTGCCTGCCTATGTCCAACTTCTCACCTAATCCTGGTCAGTTCACTCTGAACTGCGCTTGCCTGCATTTCCCTTCCACAACCCCCATCTCGGTTCAGATGGCCGGCTGTTGTTTGGATTAACCATCAGACAAGACTTCCTCCTGCTTTTCCTCAGAACCATTCTGCTTCCCACATTGTCAAACCAATCTTTGTCAAAAGGCAGTTGGAACAACTTTTAGTCCCAGATTCCTGTACCATCTTCTGCTGCTTTCCCAGGTGCCTGGGCAGGAAACTATACGGGAAGTGGAGCGCTGGGGACTTGTTCTCCTATGGGATGGCAGTGTCATGGCATAGTGGGCTAAGCTGGCCCCTCTTGGTGTATATCAAAGAAAGACTTTTCAAGCTGTCTAGGAATGAACAGCAGGCCCCCCCCCCCCCATGGATGAGATGGCCTGTTTCTAAATTTTCATTAAGTTGGAAACAATCATTCAGGTATTTCCTTATCATGGGCAAAAATATGATAACCCACCCCTATATGGAATTTATAGCTATGATGATTACCTCCTGTTTACTGGAATGCTTGAAGAAGGCTGAAATCCCAACATTTGTGTGGGATTTGGATTCCAAAGTGTTTGACTTACATCATCTTCTTTAATTCTCAGCTTGCTCTGGGAGCAAGTCACAACCATCTCATGTTAGGGATCTGTCGTGTTTTCTTTGTAAGCCTCCTGCGAGAAGTCAGTTGGCCCTTCAGGCGCCATCCAGTGGGGAGCTACAAGGGCCCGCCCATGTTTTGTGACTCCTGGGACCAGCCTCACTTGCTTCCCCTCAGTTGAAAGCAGCCTTTGGGTTAGGCAGATTCTGTGATTTAAGTCCCGATAGTCTCAGATTCTGCAGCCTGTGGGGGCCCAAGGGGAAGCTGCCAGAGCATTCCGGAGGGGACTTACAGGTGCAATGGAGAGGAAACGTTCAAAGTGAGATGTGTGTTTGTGCAGAGCGAGCTTCGGGTGTGAGATACAGAGACAACAGATCAATCCTTCTCCTCTTGTGGATTCTTCCTTGGCCTCTCCAGGGAAGCTCGGGTCACGACTTGCTGGCTAGCACAGAAGAGCTTTTAATCTTGCTTGGGAAAAGATGGTGCGTGGGAGGCCCAAAAACTCTCATTGCTTTGACAAAGAGGTAACGAGAAGTGAAGCAATCTGCTGTACAAGCCCCTGTGACCACGTCAAAGCAAAGCTGGTCAGCAGTGGGAATGGGGAGTTGGAAGAAAGAGCTGAGAAAGGGCCGGCGACTGCAGGTTCTCAGATAAGATCCCGTCAGTGTGTGCATTGGGGAAGATGCCAGAGGTTTCTGAGTCTGATACAGATTGTTGCAACTTATTTTGATATGCTTTTAAAAAAATATTTTGTATTTTTATTAGTTTTAAAGTCAGCATTATAGAGAGAGAGAGAAAGAGAGAGAGGAAGCGTACGAAAACCTTCCATCTACTGCTTTACCCCACAAATGGCCAGGACTGAGTCAAGCTGAAGAAAGGAGCCTAGAATCCCTCCCCGTGCAGGTTTCCCACACAGGTGTCAGGGGTCCAAGCACCTTGCCATCTGCTGCTGCTTTCTCAGGTGCACAGGCTGAGAGCATCATGGCATGGTGGGCTAAGCTGGCCCCTCTTGGTGTATATTAATGAAAGACTTTTCAGGCTGCCTAGGAATGAACAGGACAGGCTCCTGTGGATGAGATGGGCTGTCTCTATCATTTTCATTAGGCTGCAAATAAACATTTAGGCACGGGCATACATATGACATAAATATCATGGGCATAAACACAATAAGCCACTCATCTATGGAGCTTGTACAACAGAGATGGTCAATATGGTACCTTTGCCATGGTATCCATGGTTGCTTGCATGGTGGTGACCTTTAACACTGGGATAAGAAGGTTTAAATAGCTAAATGTGGTCCCTATGGGAAATTGTGTGATAGTCCATTAGCAGTGTCTGACATGGCTAAGGAATGGGCAACGGGGTATTAGTACTGAGCTGGGCCAGTGCTACTGTGGTGTGTTGATGGGCCCAGGTCTACAGAGTATTTGAGATGAGAACAAAAATGAGGAGAAAGTCTTTAGAATGTTTTTTTTTTTTAAGATTTATTTTATTTTTATTGCAAAGTCAGAAATAGAGAGGAGAGACAGAATGGGTGATCTTCCGTCTGTTGATTCACTACCCAAGCAGTCACAATGGCCAGAACTGAGCTGATCTGAAGCCAAGTGCTAAGAGGATTTTCCGGTCTCCCATGCAGGGTCCCAAGGTTTTGGGCTGCCCTTGACTTCTTTCCCAGGCCGCAAGCAGGGAGCTGGATGGGAAGTGTGGCCACCGGAATTAGAACTGGTGCCCTAGGGCCCAGCGCGGTGGCGCAAGTGGTTAAGGTCCTCGCCTTGCACGCCCGGGATCCCATGTGGGCGCTGGTTCTAATCCCGGCAGCCCTGCTTCCCTTCCAGTTCCCCGCCTGTGGCCCAGGAAAGCAGTCGAGGACAGCCCAAAGCTTTGGGACCCTGCACCCGTGTGGGAGACCCGGAAGAGGCTCCTGGTTTCGGATCCGCATAGCATCGACTGTTGCGCTCACTTGGGGAGTGAATCATCGGACAGAAGATCTTCCTCTCTGTCTCTCCTCTCTGTATATCTGCCTTTCCAATAAAAAAATAATAATTAAAATAAGTCTTTAAAAAAAAAAAGAAAAAAAAAGAACTGGTGCCCTTATGGGATCCCGGCATGTGCAAGGTAAGGACTTTAACAGCTAGACTGTCACACCAGGTCTGGCTTTAGAAACTTTTATAGCAATTTGACATAGCTGCCATATTCAAGTGTATAATTTCTGTATTGTAATGGATTGATCAATGATGGATTGAAAAGAAAAAGCAAGCCTGGCCCTTTACCAGAGGCGGTTTGAAAGGCACTGATCTGCAGGACTGCGTCTGGCCTTATTAGTTCCTGAAAAAGGCTTTGAAGTCTTCTGGACTTGGAGAACTTTTGAGTGTAGCCAAAGCCCCGTGCACACTGGCATTGACAGGGAGCTATTGACTGGACAGGGGTGTTTGCCAGTTTCCCTCCTCTTGCTTGGCAGCAGGATGAGTACAGTAATTACTCAGAGACTGCCAGAAATGTCTTCCTGGCCTCTACTCATTTCCACTTTCCATTCTTTTTCTTTCTTTCTTTCTTTTTGCATAAAGCCTTTGTTAAATCTAATTTCTCTTGGTTAGCACGCCAGTGAGGCCAGCAAAGAGATGTTGGTGAAGATGCTCACAGAGGCTGAAAGAGAAGCGTTCTACCTGAGCTGTTGGGTTGGCCGGCGTGGCTACGGAGGCCATGCATGAGTTCATCCATTTGTTCACCCTTTCATGCCTTCTCATTCATTTTGTCATCAGGTACCAGCTATGTGAGTCATCGTGCTGGCGACTGGAGTCGTGCTGATGAGTGAAGCAGTCACAAAGATGACAGTTGAGGAGAGGAGACAGATACTGAGTCAATAATGCATCCATGTGGTGACGTAAATACTGGTAAGTGCCTCAGTGGGAAATAATCCGTTGCTCTGAAAATGCCTAGCCAGGGTCCTAGATGCAGGATACTGAGGAAGGGACCCTATCCTAGCTGGGCATCTTGCAAAGCCTTGAGGGAGTAATGCCACTGCCAGTGTGGTTGGCACCATGGTGAATGGCTTGAGAATAAAAGCAATGACTCAGGAGAGTCCTGGGGCTGGTGGGCAAGGCAGTGACAGGGCAAGGCTCTGCTAGCTGCACAGGGAGTTTGTGTTTGATCCCAAGATGGGCAAGGGAGCTTGACAGAATTACAAATATGGGTAGGACACGGTCCCTGCTCTTAAAAGGCCTCCAGTCTGGTGGGAGAGAAAGCTTTCTTAGCACTCAACTGTAGTGCAGGTCTGACTGTCCTGGCTTACAGAGAGGTGGGCGATAATGGGATCAGGAGACTGAAATGATCCAATGGAGGAAGCTTCGTTCTGTCACTTTCCTTCTTTAAGCTCTGCTGTGATGGCCTGCTGTTAGGATGTCGACAAAAATAATTTTCTGTGGCCCCTGTGCACAGGTGCCTGCCTTGGTCCCTGATCTCTTCCTTTGTACTCCCTGTCTGCTCCTAGTGTCCTCAGTCATCTTTTTGAGGTCTCAGTATCACCTATTGTGTGGCCTTTGTGCACAGTCTCCTTTTGCGGTGCTTTCCCAGTGCCTGCATCCCACCCCTGTTTGCTCCACTAACTCTAATTTCCTGTGTCCTGGGTCTCCAGAGAACCCTGCATTTCTCTCTCATGTTGCTCAGGGTAGGTGTAACTCCTCATGTAACCATGATGACCTGTTTGATGTCTGTCTCCTTGATACAGCAAGTGCATGGTGAATATGAACAAATGAATAAATGAGAAGAGGGTTGGTCTATCTTTGAGGAATTGGCAGGGCTGGTTTGTGAGATGGAAGACATGGGGTGTGGACTGGGGCAAAGTGTGGAAGATTGGGTATGGCCTGTTCCAGAATAGAGCCACTCCTTCTCTTGTTGGCTTTTCTACTTTCTCAAGCATGTGTGAAATGAACTATGAGAAAATGGAACCTGCTGAAAGGCCACTTGCAAGGGATTATCAATGCCAAGTCTTAGCTCTTCAGGGCAAGCCAACATCCCAGGCTGATACACTGTACATAGTGTTATCTTTGTGAATTATAAGAAAATCCTTTGACCTTAAAATTGCTCAGGGCTGCAGAGCTGTGTTTGGGATTTGTTGCCCTGGTGGGGTGTGGGAAGGTTGGTTGCACTGATGGGGTGTGGGAAGGCTAGTGGCCAGGGACAGTTAGGCTCGACTAGTTTCCATTTGTGTTTTGCTCTGTTCTGAATGCCTTTGGGACATTGGTTTTCATTCCAAATCCAGGAGGTCCAATGTCTGTAAACACATCTTTATAGTCATCTACTGCCATGTAGTAACTGATTCCAAAAATTAGGCTTTAAAAAGTTCACGGGAAATGTGTATGGACATATTTGTGTATTTGAAAGGCAGAGTTACAAAGAAAGAAAGAGAGAATTAGAGGTAGAGAAAGAGAAAGAGAAAGAGAAAGGGAGGGAGGGAGGGAGGGAGAGAGAACGAGAGAGTGAGTCTTTCACCTACTGATTCACTCCCCCAATGGCTGTAATAGCCAGGTCTGGCCAGTCCAAAGCCAGGAGTCTGGAACTCCTTTCCATTCTCCCAGTGGGTGCAGGAACTCAAGCACTTGGACCATCTTTGTTGCTTCCCTAGGCACATTCTCAGGGGGCTAGATAGGAATTGGAGAAGTCAGAACTTGAACTAATATCCATTTGGATGTTGGCATTGCTGGTAGACGTCTAACTTACAGTGCTACAACGTTGACCTTTCAAACTTATTTTTTGAAGGCACCCACGTAAGCTTATCTTCTACTGCTGCTTTTCAGGGTGCTGTTTGAAGTTTCCTAGAGATTCCAATGGTTTCTCTGGGTCAGAAGTTCAGAGCCATGGGGCTGGTCTCTGCTCCACAGTGCCTGAGGCTTCATCTTGGGATGGCGGGGGCTGGATCACCGAAGGCTCATTCACTTGCCAGCCTGGCAGGTGATGCTGTTGTTGGCTGGGGGCCTAGCAGGGTCCGCTGGATGCCACACCCAGGTGTTCCTTCTCCTTGTGCCTGGGCTTCCTCATGACACTGTGTCATATCTGTGTTCCAGGGGCCAGACGAAAGCCATTGCCATTTTACAACTTTTTAGAAAGCAGTGCTATAAGTCACAATGTCATTTTTGTTACATTTTCTTTGTTAGGAGAGAATTCACACATTCCATGAAAAAGAAATTAGACTCCACGTTTTACAGGTATGTTTGAAAGCTACTGCCTTCTTTTTTTTTTTTTAAAGATTTATTTATTTTTATTGGAAAGGCATATTTACAGAGAGAAGGAGAGATAGAAAGATCTCTGTCTACTGGTTCACTCCCCAAGTGGCTGCAATGGCTGGAGCTGAGCCAATCTGAAGCCAGGAGCCAGGAGCTTTTTCTGGGTTTCCCTCACGGGTGCAGGGTCCCCAAGCTTTGGGTTGTCCTCGACTGCTTTCCCAGGCCCCAAGCAGGGACCTGGAAGGGGAGTGGAGCAGCCAGGATATGAATTAATGCCAGCATGGGGATCTCAGTGGTTGCAAGGTGAGGTTTTAGGCGGTAGGCTATTGGGCCAGGCCCAACTACTGCCTTCCTTTAAATAACAGCGCTGAGGATCCTGAGGACAGCTTCAGATATGAAGGAATGGTATTGCAGGTAAAATTTCATGTTAGAGATTTTATAGCACCCTAACCTGGACAGAGTTTTGGCAGCTGTCTGTAGCCCCCGTGTCTCTTTAGGAAAATAGTCCAACTTGTGAGAAATGTCCCTGCCCTACTTAAATGCAGGTATGACTGTGTGTGTTTAGAGGTATGATTCCTTCTGCCATCTACACGTCACTCCAAATCCTGTAGATATCACAGTCAGTTTCTTGGGGCACTGGGTAGATTCTCAAATTTGTGCTTGTTTTAGAGTCATCCAGAGAGAAAATAAGTAAATAAACCGTGCTAGCAGCGAAGAGTTATATTTAAGAGAAAATTCTTTGACTGAACTAGTTTAAATGTTAATTTTATTACTCAAGAGGGTACTTTGGAACTCTCTGTCATTATGGAACAATTAAACTGTAGTTCCTTATTAATTTTTACTGCCTTCCTAGGGTAATTAGTGGCACATAATGTGAATTGCATCCTGCTAATGAATAGGTTTTTGAATGTGGGTGGGCTGAGTCTTTCAATTGGCCATCCAGCAAGACAAGACCTAGAACAGAGGGCCCCCTTGCAACTCCCAGACTTTAGGCTTAATCCTGGAAATATCCTTAAAAAAATCCAGGATATCATACTCTCAGGAAGGTGTGATGGTTGGCTTCCCCCACCCTGTTTTGAAGCTGAGAAAGGGGATAGTTTTTTTTTTTAACAAAGAATTGAGAAAATTCTGGAAGTGGGACATTGCCTTGGTTTACCTTTTTGGTTTGTTTACAGTGGTATTTATGAATTACTCAGTCTAGGCTGGGTAAAATGAGCCAATTAATTTTAGTGGGCAATATGAGTTATATTATTCTCAAGATTTCTTGCATGAGATTGGCAGTGTATTAAAGCTGTTTTATAGATAAGAGGGGATTCACATCAGGCTTAAAACATACACACTGAGATCGATAGTAAGTGAAAGCCCTTGGCTCTAAACCTGGTCCCGCCAAGCCCAGAGCATGGATCCTCAGCCCATGTGTCTTGCTGCCTCTTGGCTGGAATGTGTCTTAAGTCCAAGCCTTAGTTGCCCTGGTTTCACTTTCACTCCTTTTGTGATCCTAGGTTTCTCAGAACACCGGTGTTCAAAGGATCTTAGAGACTGGATTGAAATCCCTTTGTCTTACCAGTAAGGAGATGGAGGCTCAGGGCAGAACAGAGTACTGGAGTCCACAGCTTAGCGGATCTTATTGCAGACACATCAGCGCTGCCAACAGCCCCCAGACTCCAGCTCTGGATCCTCATGGAGAAATCTCTGGCTGCCCAGATAGGTTTAGCAGTGGCCTCAGTGCCCTGAGCATCTCATTAGGCTAGCATCCCTCTGTGGCGAAACTCTAGCCAACTCTGTCTTGTCCACTTGCAACTCAAATGTCACTAGCCTGGGACATGCAAATCGTGTTGGCACAAACCCCTGCAGCTTGACTGACAGTGTGTGCTCCTCCAATAATTGTTTGGATTTCCCAGACTTGTCTCAGGAGCATCTACAGCAGTTGGCCTCTCCTGTTTCCTGCCTGGATCCACTGACTTCTGAAGGCTCCCTGAAGCCCATGATGAGAATGTTGTTGGCTGCTCATGCCAAGGGATTGCGCCTGGCTGATGCTATAGCTTCCCATTTCAGAGTGTTGGGGGTCCTGTGATGGTCCAGAGAAAGGTCTCTTTTCAGAACTGACCCCTGTTGTTTGTCATTGGTACACTCAGCTTCTAGCCATCAACCCTTGCCTAGAATGCCATTCATGGGTGGTAGAACCATGTGGTCCTGCCCTTAGCCTTTGGAGCTTAAACCCATTCGAAGGACAGATGGGAAGCAGCTGCTATGTTCCTCCTTTCATTCCTCTCTGTTCTCATTGATCCTGTTCACCCATCCACTCTTCTCACTCCATCTCTATGAAAGAAAGTACTGATTAATCTATTGAATCTGCTTTCAGTGGGCACTTACTGTGTGCAAGGCTTTTTTCTTGTTTTTTTTTTTTTTCCTATTTTGTAGAACATTACTTTTGCCTGGAATGGCACTTTTTCTGAACTCCATGATGAGTCCTGATCGTTCTGAATTGATCAGGATAATCCTACCCTTCACCTGCCTTACCATCTAGTGTCCTTGGGAAAATGTGAAAATAGGATGAAACATGGAAGCGAAGATAGGGACTTTTGAGAAAGCATTCATTTTCCTAATAAGAAGTGCAGGAGTGCCTGGGACCTGCCAACCCAGAATGGAGAATTGACACCTGAGGCTCGAGA